AAAAAAAAAAAAAAAAAGTAACTTCATTTGAATGAATAGGCGCCATCTTGCCATTCAGTATCTAGTTATTATTATAAATCTATGGGACTCTGTGAAAAGAACTGCCCACTGGGGAGCTCTCCTGAGAACTACATACCTTACATACCATGCCTGCCTACGCCTATTTTGCTTTTCGAGAAATCTGAAAATATTACTCCCAGAGCAGGGACCTTTTGGGGCCAGGAATTCTTTAGGTAAGGTTCCTGAGTTCCTAAAATGGTACCTACAGAGGAAACTACTTGGTTTTACACATTAGTTAACACAAGTTAACACAACACAAGTTAAATCGGGCATGGTCAAGGAAGAACATTTTGAATGCTAAAACTTTGGCTGTTGACTGATGGTTAATTACATATTTATGTTACCCATGACTATCAAATCAGTGATTTACTTACATACTGGAAATGATGTGTGGGATGTTTCTCATGCAGTTAAGTCTTATACAAGAAACAAATTCTTTACGCCAGTAATCTCCTAACTCAATGATGTACAAGACATTTTAACTGATATTAACTGAGACCTGCACATTGAAATTGTTCTAAGTTTCATTCTATTCAGTGCTCTACTTGTCATTTATATAGACAAGCATTCTAAACCTTATAAGGTCCAACTATGACCTCTGCTCTGTGTGTACCCACCTGTATGACGACTTCAGGCATGCTCAGTGGGATGTTGGCCACGGACAAGAGGGGTTCGCTCTCCCCTGGAGCCTCTAAGAAGGCTTTTACCCTGATCAGACTATTCCCGGAGACACACTTGATGTAGTCGTCATAGCGCAGATGCAGCACTTCCTTGTGGACTGATCACACACACACACACAATATATATATATATATATATATATTAAACAGGAAAATAATACATCATGCTGCTGCAATACAAGAACAAGTGATGGTGTGCAGATATCTTATCACTGCTGTTTTACAGTACGTCTGCATCAGAGACTTTTGCTGATTTATTTGAGCTACTAACCACCGTGGGCAGGTACAGTCACACTGATTGTTTGCCTCTGGCACTCCCCCCTGCGGAGAGAATTGTAAGTTACAGCCATGGCCAGCATGGTCAGCTGAGCGTGAGCATCTCTGTCTCCTTCATTCTTAACCTGCAGACAGAATGAGAGAATAAGAAAATGTATTTTGTAAATTAATTTACTCATTTTATTATTTCATCCAGACAGTCGGAGCACTCCATACCTCAAAAATCACATCAAAGTCTGTCCCAAATACAGGCTTAGGATGCTTGATTGACAGCTTCAGATGTCCTGGCTCTGCGCTTAGACCTGCCGGCTCTGTGACCCGGCGTCCTGCCTTTTCGTACACCTCTCTCTCCTTCTTGGAGCCTGTGGAGAAGATGTTGGTCCATGACAACAGACTGTAATCATGAGTGTACACACATTACACAAGTTAGTGTCCATCAGTTGCAGGCTCAGTCAGTTATATAATTTCTTATGAATCTCATGAAACAAAGTCGTACAATCAGGCTTGTCATGATAACTACTGTTATTGGAAGATGTACTGTCCCAGAAATAATTGTGATAAACGATATTATCATTTTGAGACTTTTTTGTGCCACAGATATGATGATGATATAATAGTATGATAATAAAAGTACACCCTTTCAAAGAGCAATGCATACATATATATATGTATATAGAGTATATTATTATAT